GTGTTAAATCGAAATGCTTTAACTTCAGAGCAAACTGGCCAGATACTTTGCCATTTACCAAACCGACAAGATGCCAGACCAGCTTAGTTCACAGATGCTCCCTGTCTCACATACACAGACACAACTGAGAAACTGATTCACCTAAACCAAACGTTTTCTCACTGTGAGAAAAGACCACAGTACCTGATAAAAACCCACCAGAACACAAGGTGCACATGTTAAGTGAAAACAAACAGTCAGGGCAGAAACTGAACAGACTTGTTCACCCCTGGAAATATGAAGCCACAGTGTAACCAAAGCATAATGCATATCTGTCAGCGTACTGATGAATTCAACATTTTGATACACCGAATGTAGAATGATAATCCAATTATGACAAACATGAAGGTTACCATGGCCTGTATTATTTTCACACCAACATAGCACCTGTGCATTAAAGCCTACATCAATGCAGCAGGTTGGTACACAGGGGTACATATGCTGGCCTTCACATTCATACAATATGAATCAGATAAACCCCAGAAGGAGAAGCTACACTCACCATTTCTTCCTCTCCTGCTCCTTCTTTTTAAAGTTGTCCAGCTTCTTCATTCCCCTGACGTTCTGCTGCTTGAGGGTCTCCTCTGTTTCCCAGGTATTGTGTATGTGAGACCACCCTTTCCACTTGATCAGGTACTGCTGGTCGCCCGCTTCTTTGTTGGGCATGAAGTTGGCATTGGGATCCCCATCCATCTCCACAGCATACACTGTCGTGGTGCCCCCAGTTGCTTTTGAAGACATACCAGTGTTATGGGCAAGTCTACCCACAAAGGCTCTAACACGCCGTTCTAATGTTCCATTGTGTAATAAAGTATAAGACATCAAACGATTTGGTAGCGATGACAAAGCAAACAGATATTGTTGCTATCCAATGAAAACTACGTGTCCACTTTCTAACGATCGTAACTTTTTACTATACATGGAATACACCCAGTATCCTGTCTACTGACAGTGTCACACATCGAACTGGCCAATGAAAAGATGTTTTATGAAGTAATTTAACCAGGATTTACATTTGTACTAATAATAGTCATTTGTATAGAATATTTAGCTAATTATAAAAACTAGCAAAATAACACCATTAATGGAGAATAAAATGCAAGCTTAGTTTGTATCTTGTTCACACTGACATTTGCCTTGCTGACAACAATCCACGCAAGTCCATTTTAAGCATTAAACCGTTCCCTGACAGCCGTACAAAAACAGGTTTCCATTTGTGGTGCTAAGGGTGTTCCAGAATGTTTTACATTTATTTTGTGAAGTGGTTTCTGAGAAAAACCTTTTGTCATGCTCCTGAAAAAATGGAATTCTTTTAGATATGCGGATTCCACCCAAAGTCCTACCTCCTTTCCTGCCTATTCTCATGTCCATCACTTTCTCTAGAGTTTCAAACTCATCTTCTTCAGGCTGTGGAACATCTTCCCCATAGACCTCCACCAGGTCATCAGAGTCAGTCTTCATTTCCTCGTCCTCCTTGTAACTCACGTTAACCGTTGCCTGACGACGGGGTCCTGATGACTTTTTGTCATACTCATCCTCGTCTGAAGACGAATCCGACTGCTTTTTCCTCTGTACTTTACCTTTTTTGCCATTTCTGGCATTAGCCCTGAAGGAGAAGGCACACACAACACAGTAGCTGAGTGGTTTGAAAGCGCCTGAGACACCCAGCCACTGGCAGACTCTTTAAAATTCCAGGAATAAAAGGTTAATTGTTCGACTGTCCGTATTGTTCTGCTGCTGGCTTATTCTGTCTCCATCTTGTCAGGCAACAGAATGGTCCTTGTTTAATCCATACAGAAATGAACACTCAAAACAGTGATAATTGCTTATTTCTCTGAACACAACTAGAGAAGTGTAACCACAGAAACACTGCTGATCTTATAATTACACAAGTTTGTCCAAAGCCCACAACTACACATTAGAATTCCATATGGTGAAAAAGAAACATTGCAGATGTTAGTCTTCCCACAAGTGAGTATTTTTAGAGTGCCAAATTGCATTTGATTTTTCATAACATAGTTTGGCTACTTCTCCAAAGAACTTCTACTCAGCAAATTTACGATTGACTTCATGTAGATTCAATATCTAAATGCTAATGAGAAATGTACCGGTTAGGAGGCTTCCTGCTTTTGACTTTGTGACTTGGCTCATAGTCTGAAACCGTCTCGTCTGTGTTCTCCGCATCCTCTGAAGAGTCAGAGTCAGAATCACTTCCAGAATCCGACCCAGATCCAGAATCAGATCCAGACCCCGATCTGAAAAGAGAAAACAGAGAAGCTTTCAACACTGATGACAAGTGTTGGAAGTAATAGCTCACAAAGGGCTACAGAATGCTTTTAGGATAAAGTGCTGTGACCGTAAAATACACCAGGGCAACCCACAGCACTGAAGATGATGTAAAACTGGTGTCGTCTTACGCACTACTAGTTCACAGAATAAACTCACTCTTTATGCTTTCGTTTCCTTTTAGTCTGACTTGATGAGTCAGAGTCATCGCTGCTAGATGAATCCTTGAAGCATAAGAATAAAAAAAAAATGTAACCAGACAGGAAATTGACAGTTTCAATTTTCTAGATTAAAATCCATTTGAAAAACCTAGCCATTGTAACACCTATTATCATGTGTTGTACAGAAATATTCAATAAGTCACAATCACCACTCCAAAAGAAATTAACAGGCTCATGTTATTGCTGATGTAATAATTCAGCCCTGAGTAATTATGGTACTTAGAAGCTATTAAGCATTTGTTAATACCAGAATCACATCCAGGTGTATCAGCAACATATGACATCTTTGAATAATAGTTTTGCTGGTGTAAACCACTTCGTAAATAGCTACAAGGATAATAATTGTTAAATGTTTGGCATAGGCTGGTCCCCCAGTACCTCATCAGAGTCACTGTTCGATGAGCTTTGCTGCTGTGCTTGCTGTTGCTGGAGCTGTTTCCTGAGCATGGCTGATTGCTGCACAGCCAAAATACTTGGGTTTGACTTCCAGAACTACAGCGGGGTGGAGGAAAGGACAACGACCCAAACATGGGTGATTTGTGATTATGGTTGGATTTGCAAACAAGTTAATCCTAACAGCACACTTAAGAATTAATTCACCATCTTTCTGGAAACAAAAAACATGAGATTGAACATTGTTATGACTTTGAGATGAGTTAGCTCAATATGGTATTGGTTAAGATTTAATTGCATAGAGATTGAACTGCTTTTAAAAATACTTCTTACTTAAGTTAGTTAAGGTGGCATTGTATCATTCCTCACCTCTGCCCCATCGATCTTGACAGATTTGTTTTCCTGCTGGTTCTTCTCTTTCGACTTCTCAGAGTCTGAATCTGATTGGCTGCCAGAGTCAGAACCACTTCCTGAGTCGCTGCTCCCTGATTGGCTGCTGCTGTTGCTGCTGCTGCTACTGGAGCTTGAGTCTGACCCAGACCCCGATCCAGATCCAGACTCATCATCAGAATTACTGTGGGCATAAATCCCCCATAAATGTTTCAGTCAATCTGTTTTCCCCAAGAATACGCATTTCATGCAAAAAAAAACAAAAAACCATCACATCACATATACCAATTTAAATACTTCGTTTTATGAAGCAGCAAACCCATTTTTAAGAAAATATTTTCCTCTGAAGGGAAATCTTCAATAACTCTTTGGCTTAAGATGACACATTAGCAGACATAGCACCGTGTTTGGCTCATATCTGCTACTGTCGAAGCTGAACAAATATTTCGTAACTGAATACTACCAGAGACATCATAGATGCATTATTAATTAATTATAACTCTTCATGCTACACATTTTAGGAAATTGTCCCCCACTGTCAACCTCATGTGCCCCCCAGGTTATGCCAGCTTCCTCCAACAGTAGGCAGACATGCGGGGAGGCTAGACGGTGTTATTAAATTGCCTACAGTGTGTGTGCTGTCCTGTAAAGAACTGGCATCCCATCTAAGATATCCCCTGCCTTAAGCTCTATGCTGCCTGAGACAAGCTGCAGGGCAGTCCGTCACCCTGTCCAGGATAAGCAACTGGAAGACACTACGTTTAAAGCTTGATGGCCATTCACAATGTGTCAGACACTGCTTGTGCAGTAGTATTGTTTTGTCAGATGCAGCAGTAACCAGTCAGGTTTGTTTAAAGGACAGTATTGAGCGTACCAGTGTTTGTCTCTGTTAGGTGCTGTACCGTTAACAGCAATGGCACTGAGCTAACATGACCTACTGCTTTAATTAATGAGGCTCAACTAGTACACACTTCCTGTCTTATAGTGCCTATCAGAGCATATTCTACTTGAAAATACATTTTATAATATCAACACAAAAACTACTGCTCAAAAGCTTTTGTATGATTTAATTACAATCAAAAATGTAAACAAAGGTAATATTTTAATTGCCATATTTGGCAGGCTATCAGATGAAAAATTATTACAAAACATCCTGGCCATACAAAAAAGCTCAATATAGGGGATTAGCATCTAAAAACTTGCCATTGTTTAAATACAACCAACAAGTCTAATCACAACTGGCAAATTTAAGATTAAGAATTATATCCTTTAATCGCTTTGATAGAAGACTTATCTAAAAGCTACCATAGGCTCTTCAGGACAGCTTTCATGTCCAGCTCTCCAAGGCACTGGGAACAGTGCTATGCGGTCAGCGAGCTCTCCAGAGACCCAGGGCTTATAGTTATCCGAAGTCAGTGGTGCTAACTAGCAGCTACACCGCTGTAGACATTCTTGCTTCTCTTACCATTGCTAGAAACAGTTACCATGTTTTACAATATTAGCTGTGACAGAACTTATGTATGAATATAGTGCTTGCAAGGGTGAAAAACAAGACTTCTGTAATTCAGTCTTCACCTTGTAGTAACATGTATATATTCTCAAACCAAAGAACTGAAAAATGTGTCTCACATGCAAAAGAATAATATCCACGCAAAACAATAAAACCACACAATAGATTTTGAACAGTCACTTTGTAAAGACAATGCAGTAAAAGAGCACAATTTAACCAAATCTGTTCATATAAAGCGGTATAAGGAACAACCTCAATTGCTTTTGACAGCGGAATGGTTTCAATTAGATTCAACTATTCAAAATCAAAGACTGACATTGATGTTAGACGTTCTTTGTTCAGAAAACCATCAAATTAAACTAAACCATACCAGCACTAATAACTAACATTTCTACCACAGATTAAATTTAGAAACGTTTAACTCCCCAAGCATGGTCAACAGTTCAAAGGTATTTTTAAAATTACCTTGATTGTGCACTGCTGTTGCTCACACTTTCGTCTTCACTGTGTCCATCCATCTCAGTCTTTGAAACTAGGTCTCAGTATGATTGATCCAGTCAGGTTACGTGCTCGTGATGCTGTGCACAAATGCCCTTTTATTCAGTGTAGTTCACCTGCAAAACACAAACCATCTTGCTGAATTCAACACATTCGGACAACTGCATCTTAAGACTGAGAAGACTGACATTTTTAAACTAAACTGGAAAAAAGATTCAGACGTATTGTTTTGTAAACACATTTTCAGTGAAATGTCATAACCGACAACAGATGCTTAAAAATGAACTCCGGTCAGTAATTAAGGATTGCACATCACCAAACTGTTGATTAATCTTGTCAACCAGCAGAGAAATCAAAATCAACAACAGTTGAGATTCAGAGAAAAGACATTTATGCCAATTAAACACTACAGAGCGCTTATGTTTGCACATCCGAGTCTGCAATCGACCAAAAGGAAGTATGTTGACTCATTTTATTTCAATTTGCTTAATTTCTCTGCTGTATCTGTCACTGCAACCAGCAACAGTATAAATTACACCATTGAGAGTAGGGGCCCTACAGGAAAACAAAGTGTCAAACAAGTCAATCAAAATGTCTATCCAAGCTATTTAACTATTCATTCTATTATGGAGCACCAAACATCAATATATGGCTAAAGTACAATATCCTCCTGAGACCCCACCCATTCATTTATATCCATTGTAGTCCATTTTGTAGTCCATTTTGTTTTTGCATCTCTCTTTTCACTGATGTAAGGAAACGTATTTATTCCTGTTGTACACTAAAGAGGACATGCTGTGAAATTAAAAATAAAAATTAATTTGAAAAAATCTAAACTGTAAGATGTCTTATTTCCTCCAAAGACAAATAATCTACAATTGAAGGACACTTTTCTCCTTGGGTCTCAGGAGGATATATTTAATAAATATTTTCTGCATGGATGCTAACAGTATAGGATTTTTTTTGAGAGGCATCCTTTGTCACCACTGTCTTAAAAAATGGAGGCATATAGGACATTTTGGGGGCACTTTTTAAAAATAGTAATTAATGCATAACGTTTGTTTTTAAATGTGAAATGAGGCCAGATTAAAATGCATACAATTACCACCTTATGCCAACATGAGTAAATAAAAAGCAAACTATTGCTGTTCCAAAGAGAGGTGTGCAGTCATCTGCATGTGTGTAGAATACCATCTGTATGTGAGAGAAAGCAGCAGACAGTTCTATTTGGGCCTTATGTAGCTTAGTAGCCTTTATGTATAAACTAATGCATTGTACAAAGTAAAAACTTCATCGCAATCTTTCAAATGAACTAGTTTATGGTCTTTTTTAAGCATCCTCTTTAGAAATCGTTGAAGGTCTATTCAAAATATTTGGGAAAATGAAAGGCAGTGTTTCACAACTGTATATGCAAACTGGTGCGTTTAACAAAATAAAACAAATACTGCAAATTACAAGATTTAACCTGTGAGCCATTTGACAATGTTTTAAAACTAAATGAAACAAGTACCGTTTATTCTTCGCCTTCATGAAATATATCCGGTTTGATTTTGGCTGTGAATTCTGGGAATCTGTGCAATGTCAAGACCGAAGCTCTCATGTTGTTTACAACCCAGGAAGGAATATTATTGGTTTTAACGGACAATAAAAGGCATATCAATATAAAAGGCATTGTCATCCTGAATCTCATTTTGAAAATATATCGAAATAACGTCAACATTCGACATTCGAGTCGAGGTGACTGGAAAAGTTGACGACAGGTAGCTGTCAAATCCATGGATAAGCAAACTATCCAAAGTCACACCCCCCAGCAGAGATCGACTGCAATTAGATAAACATCTTTCTTAAGAAATGAAATTGGCTTCTGCCAGATACTGTAACAGCATTATATAGTAATATGTGATTAGTTACAAAAAGTTATGCATAATACGTAATGTGAACAACAGCACTGATTGGATGAGCGTGTTACAGATGGAAATGAAATAAAAATACAATGATGGCTCAATGTAGGATTAAGGGGTAAACTGGTAAAAATAATTTTTCTTTTTCCGAAATCATGGAGGCAATTTTAGCTCCTCAATCACAGTTTTTAGGGGTATTCTGAGATTAACGGAGGCAAAAATGCCAAGAAATTTCGGATGCTGGATGCTAAGTGCTAAACCAAACTACAAGGTTCCTTAACCTTTAGCAGGCAGGTCAAAATGCTAAAATATGAGCATCCCTGCGTGTCATTACATTTAGTGAAGTGTCTCCCTTTATTGATGTTTTTAGCCTCTACTGGACTACCAACACACCTGCAACGATCAGCCACACCTGATATAACCATTTAAAAAAACAGTCATGGCTCAATCCAGTCTACAGCTGTTACGAGAGTGTTGCAAAAACAGCAGGATGTGTCTCATAGGCGTGTCAGTTCTCTTTCAGGATTTCTCAGATACTCCGACCAAACTTGAAATGTCCAACTAACTAGTAATTCACTGGGAGTGAAGTTTAGAAAGCTATAATATGAGGAAAATAAATCCCGGTTACTATGCCTAGGGCAGCACCAAATAAACCTTTGGAGTTTGTGGTTCAACAGGCACATTAGCTTCACATTCTGCATGTTCAGCATAGTAACTGAGAAATGCTTTGTGTTGTAATTCAGAGCAGGTGGGACCCCTGCAACCCCTAGCATATTAACACGTTTTCATTAAAGAATCGTGCAACAAGATTTGATTTCATTGATGCACATTTCTAGCTTCCTTCTAAAACTTGGGTGTAAAGATGTAAACCAGTGCAAACATTGGGAAATATTCTGTTCTTCCAGCAACAAAATGATAGCCCAAAAATGTAGAAGGTTTAGCTGGCTTTTGTTTTAACCAAAAGCTTTTTTAAAAAAATGCAACTTCCTTTATCATAACACATGAAACCTGGATCTTTAAAAATGAGTTTATACACTGCATCTGCAGATATTGCCTCGTTTGCTAATCAAATGAACATTACTGTGTCATGTTTCTGGAATTAGGCACTACAACCACCTGGCAGTGCCTGCACACAAAAACATTAAAGTTGTAACATGAGATCAGAGAACGCATTAAACACATATTAAAGGCAAACATGTACTTCGAATCGTTTGTCGTGAGAAACAAGAAAAGTTCAGGCAAAGAGGCTCTCCCAGTTCTGCCTGTAACCATGCTACTCAAGAATGGCAACTCAGTACATAAAAGCATGACTTAAAGTAGGGGTTACCATCCTTATGATGTCCATGGCCCACCAAGCAGGGGGGTGGGGTTGCACAGTAGAATAGATTTTTGAGTTAATTTTTATTCTGATATTTTAGAACTTTGTCAGTCATTTGAATAAATCTTTTACTGTAGAGGGGGCAGGTGGCAACTCAAACCCCAGTGTTCCACAGCCTGGTGGAATACTGGCCAAAGAGGGGGGGTTGACAACTCCCAACTTAAAGAACTAGTTCCAGCATCAAGTGGAAAGTGTTAACAGAGGTTAACTTAGAAAGTAATCTCTTTCAGAGTGGATATGTAGCAAAGTCAAACCTATCTGTTGCAACGGAGGGTCTGGAAAATGTCTTGAGAAAAGTAACAAACATATAACTAAAGTAATATAGGACTCTAACGGCCACTAGTTAACCACTTACTGTGAATGCCTGTAGGTCAGCAAATTTCAAACAGGAAACACACCAACACTTTATGCCATTCCTATTATTAAGATAGGAAGTAAATTTCAAGCAAGACAGGTTTTGTTCTCTATTGACTAAATGTTATGTGGACTACAGCCAGTAGCCAGCAGTTTTATGCAATTCTCAATGTGTATTTCCTCATTATCTACATTATTTATTAGCTTTACATAGCATAACAGACAGAACATTAAAATCCAAAAAAGCTACTGAGACACTTGGATATTAGGTATGAGAAAACTGATTTAACAAGTGGCACACAGATTGGCAGGAGATACCCAGGGATGTGTCAGTTAATGGTACTAAATTATATCACAAACTCTTCAGACCTCTAACAAATGGATTAAAACAAATTCCTCACTGGAATTCCACAGTAAAAACTCATGCACTCTCATCAGAGAACATAATAGAAAGTTCTTTTGGATCCAAAGAAAATTATCAGAGGAGCTTAATATGATATTTGGATTTTCTTATTTTATTTTTTTTTTAAATAAATAAAAAGTGTACATGCATAAGGCAGGGCATAATGCTACATAATTTTAAGCTTAATGTCCTATTTAAAATTCTCATCTGAGCTGGACTATCTTCATATGCCCTATCAAACGTCATGCATTCAAATCTATGTGTCACATCTTTCAGCAAAAACAAATGAACTGGCAATGCCTAATTCACGTAGGTTGTGACTGCACAATAGCAACTGATTTAGCATTTAATGCAATGACAATATCCTGTTTTACGTGAAACAGTTCATTGAAAGATTTTTTGAAAATTCAGTCAAATCACCCTGGTGACTCCAACAAAAATGTCCTTAAAATAGGGGTGTTGACTCAAAGTTACCCAAAATTTACTGTCCTACAGTTGTCAAAGTATATCTGTTCAATTCCAGAGCACTGACAGAAGCAGTTAATTACAAAAGTGGCTATTCAAAAGAAGGGAAGAAATTTGAACCAATCCATTCACTGACAGCTCAGCACCCTGTGCCAACCATGAATGCATAATACCCACTACACAACAAAACAGTTAACCAGATTCTCAAGGACCAGTCAGATAAGCAAGCATTGACAATGGTAAAATAAATATAAATTGCTAAATGTAATTTATCTGAACAGAAAAGAGTTAAAGTTTACAACTTCATGAGATTACATTAAAATATTTTCCAGGATGGAAGCGTTTTGGTCCCTTCCAATAAAAAAATGGTACTGCTACATATATACCATGCAAAGAAACTAACATTCCCCAAAAGACTAATGTCCAGGGCAAAACTGCTCAAATATCAAAACCAGGGCATTTTAACGTGTGGTACCAAAGAGTGACTCCAAGCATATCTTTAATGCAGAGCAGTGCTAGAAACAATTTAACATGGGGTTTATTGTCCGAGACAGGAAAATAAGCAGCGAAATATAATACTAATCTCACAAACTGTCAAATAAAAAGGGGCTGAAATAATATCTTTATGGTGTAGTGCAAAAAACCTATACAACCTATACGGGGGGTGTGACATCCATCTATGCTAACAACGACAGGGTCACAGGGGTGCATGACGCCCCCCAGGTGAACAGGGCACAAGGCTGGGGTACATTTTGGATGGAATGGCAGACCTTCGCAGGATGCACACACAGTAGCAGGGCAGGCACTTATGCATGCATGCATGCACGCACATACACACACACACACACAACAGACTACAGTTCCCCAATTCCAGTCCTGGAGGCTCAGTATGTAAGACACCTTGCAGATTTCCCTACCCAGACATACCTGCCAAACCTGCCAATTCATTAATCGGTAACTGATTAAGGTGCATTTGAGCAGGCAAATCTGCTAACGTGTTGGATTCTGGCCCTCCAGGACCAGAATTGGAGAACCCAGCAATAGACAGCTGAGACATACCAGTTTACCCAACTGTAGCATTTAAGGTATTATTTGTACATTGCATAATATTAAAACATGTAATATATGTGTGCTTGAAGAATTTTTTGCACAATTTGGAAGGACCAGCTCAATTTTCAGTCACTAAGTTAGAGGATGTTTTGGAAATGGCAGGAGAGCAATAAAACGAACAAAACGGGTTAACATTTTCATTGCATCAACCAGATTCCTGGAGTGCAATATTGATGAACAACGAGCTCTAAGCAGATGTTTTAAGATCATGTGGAAGAAATGGCAGTGGGACCTGGACCCAGCTTTTAACCCCACACACATACACACTTAAGTTTAACAAATTAAAATTATTCAGCTTCTTTTCTACCTAAATCGTGTTCTATATATTGACAAAATCTACACTTCTGCCAAATCACATCACCCCTTTTCTACTTTCCCCGAAGAATCACCATTTCTACATCCCTTTCTGACACTATTATAATAATTAATAAACCCTAAGTGGTGGAATGCAATTACAAGCAACTAGAAAGGCGTTTCATGTGGATGAATAACACTTCCTTTTTCATTAAAACAATGACATGCACATAATTGTGAAAACCGTCTTGTCAGAGCTGTGCTGTCTTCATTTGAAGAAATCTGCCTCATCCAGGTAATACTGAGGATAAAACAGCAAATCGCATGTAAGACGGCAGATAATCTTGTAGGATTCTTGTGTATATACATACACATACACAGAGAAAAGAATCTCAACCACAAAAAAAAAAAAAAAAAATTGACTTTGCCGGCCTAAGATACACTTATAGACGACTATCGTGATTATGTCTCCGTTGTTAGATTGCTGTAAATTTATAGCACATGTTGAATTATTCATTTTCCCCAAAGGCACCAATCCGTCATTGCCCAAACGAAGTGTGCAGTTAGATAATTTAATTAGCGTTAACTCTCTCGATCCTTAAAAAAATGTGCGTGTCATTAAAGGAATGTTTAAAACCCGTAGTAGATTAATAGCATTTCCCCTTGAATGTTCCCATCCACGGTGGCAGTGGGAGCTCGCCTTCAGTCCTGTGCGCCGGGCTGACAGATGCGTACTGAATTTACACTTCTCCGCATATTTGTTTTCCGGATGAGATTCCCGGGAACTTTCAGTTCGGCGAGGTGTTTTGTCAACAAGGCCAAATATCTTACACATACTCGGATATCGCCAACGCTTTGAGCCAAAACTCCATTTTGCGTGGATGGTTTTCGGAATTAATTTCATACAAACTCAATCTAACTCACATCCTGAAATACGTGCCAGTTACCGTCGCTACCTGGAGCGCCGCGACCCATTATGGACCGCAAAGGCCCGGTGCAGGGCCTGCGCGTCGTGCACGAGTTCCGGCCGAGCTTTCCTGGACAGCTATACCCAGCGGGAGCGCCTCCGCGGGGCACTCGGGCAACCCGCTCCATCCTTTTCATCCGAGCTGCGCAGCGAGCAGGGCGCACGACCGCGGGGCTACAGCAAGTCTTTCCCAAATCACCACCGATTAACATAACAAAAGGTTCATTTTTCACTGCGTACATTTAGTGTAGTGCCCGCAGCCGTACGAGTAGAGAGATGAGATATAACTCACTTTAATCTGGTTAACAATTTTGATTTAGCCGGCCACACTGTCCCATTAGCTCCCAACACGGAATACGCTAGCTAGCTAGCTAGCTACAACACAGCGAGCCCAACGTTCCCAATCTCTCTCGGTTTCCCGTCTGGAAACGTGCGGTTAGATGACCCAGTCGGATAGTTAGCTCGCCGGCTACACCAACACCATCAAACCGGCCGGCGATCTATTTTTAACGCGAAAGTGGCGACTACGAATAATGGTCTCGCCAGCCTCTTAGGACCTTATTCTTCCCGTGACCTCAGACACATCCACGCGCACCTCAGTTCCCGCACTCTCCGTGAGCGGCAGGCTAGCTTAGCTTAGCGCGGGATCAAAACAGGCGGCGGGCTAGCAGCCACAGCGTACGGCGGCGACCGCCCGCTTCTAAAATCCAAAAATCACCGAGGACGCACCTGATCCGTTAAACCCGACCCCAATGACTGGACTTTGGAAAATAAAACAAACTAATCGGCAGCGTCCTTCTTTTACTGATACCTGGCTCAAGTGAGGTTCCAGTCTGGCTCCCGTCTCCGTCTGACTTCTGAGGTCCTTTTTTGTAGCTAGCTAGCTTGCTAACAATTTTTTCTTTGCTAGCAGCTAGCTAGCTAGCTAGCTAGCTCCCGTGCTGAGCTGCGCCAAACAATCCGACTTGGCTGCTGGGAAGGCTTCCTTGGGTTCTCCTTTCAAATTAATAAAATTATCTTGACTTTTCGTTTCGCCTTCTGTTTTTTTCTGGGGACACAGTGCTCGTTTTATTAAAAGAATGCCGACTGTAGACAGTTCAACTGCGAGTCCTGTTACTGCCGGCCTCCGCCATGACGCCGTCGAGCTCTCACACTCCAGCGGTCTCGCGTGTGGAAACCCCGGGCAGTGACGTCACCGGGACGAGCGCTTTCTCACTCGAAATTACACAAACAGACTAGTAAGCGGAGAGGCGGGGGACATAGGGGTGCTGGGGGCGTTTGGGAACGCGAAATGTCATTGCCTCATAACTACTACCTCAGTAGTTACACTGACAAATGATGTTTGTAGAATGGAACTATATATATATATATATATTTCTTTTTTTTTTCCCACATAGAGATTTAAACCTGATGTATAGATAGTCATCACGTCCTATCATGAATATATATAAAATCACTATCAGTACAGAATGATCAAATCAAAGAAAAAAATCATAAAGTGAAGCCAACTGATTAAATATGCGTAAATGTATAAAACATTTAACATGAGGGTTTCAGGGCTTCCTTCACACAAAAGGAAATTACTAATTTTGTACAATTAGAAAGAGCAAAACCACAAATAAATGTAAACACGGAATGATGTTATTTGCTCATCTGAGTAGTTAATCTACCGCCCATATTTCCTATTCTTTTCTCTTGGTGTTTTTTGTGGTTTCTGGTGTTCCTAGAGAAGAATTGTCATACACATAATCAAACATGTTAACAAGCACTTGCTTATTAGGTGGTTTTTGATTAATTTTGACCCTATATTCATTTGAATAGTGTCATCCATCCATCCATCCATCCATCCATTTATGTATCCATTTTCTGTAACCACTTGTCCTGTTCTGAGTCGAGGGGGTCCTGAGCCAATCCCAGAGGCTACAGGCACCATGTACTGTTGTTCTACCAAAAACATATTTAGAAGGGGCCTCAAAGTGTCCATGTTATTATGTCATCAGACTGCAGAATTATTTTGGTTGGATACAAATGTGACATTCACTCACTAGGCTTTCTCATCACCAATTTTTTCTTTGTTATTTCCATTTTTAAAACTAACCCAACATCACTGGCTTTTGTTTTCAGGTGGGAAGATCCTGTTCACATCCTTCACTTCCTCAGATAACTCATCTTCATCATTATTATTTACTTCCTGTCACGTCCATTATAATGTTCATCCCATTAATTTTTTTCCACACGTCTAATCTGTTTTCTGACATTTTACAATAATAAACCTACATGCTGATATTGAAAAGCTATAAATTAGATGCATAATTAGAATCTGTGCCATCCACTAAATATTCATTTAACATCTATTTATATTTAAACAAAGATTACAAGAACAACAAAACATACTCTCTTGGGGCCTCACACCTTCATTGTTATTCATATAACAGGTCACATGATATGACCTAGATTTCCTAGGACCCAAAGCCCCTGCAATTTGATCCCCTTTAATTATGTCTGAAACTACTTTTGTGTTTTGTTGTCTTAGGAGAATGTTAAGAAAATAAAAAGGTGAATAGGTACATGTTACTAATGTGTGTATAATTAGATCATTTTAGGCACCATATATGTGTGTAAAATTTTATACACATACACCACAGATAAATATAATGAATATATATATTGTGTCATTGCAATTATATTTGTGAATTATATTTGTTGATCTGATCTGATGGTGGGCAAGCAACATATTGGAATATGCTATGAAATTTGTAGCATTGTGCATATACAGTTGTGGCCAAAAGTTTTGAGAACACACGTACTGGTTTCCCCAAAGTTTGCTGCTTCAGTGTTAGTAGATCTTTTTCAAGATGTTTCTATGGTGTACTGAAGTATAATTTAATGCATTTCATAAGTGTCAAAGACTTTTATTGACAATTACATTAAGTTTATGCAGAGAGTCAATATTAGCAATGTTGGCCCTTCTTTTTCAAAACCTCTGCAATTCGCCCTGGCATGCTGTCAATCAACTTCTGGGCCAAATCCTGACTAATAGCAGCACATTCTTGCATAATCAATACTTGGAGTTTGTCAGAATTTGTGGGTTTTTGTTTGTCCACCCGCCTCTTGAGGATTGACCACAAGTTCTCAATGGGATTATGGTCAGGGGAGTTTCCTGGCCATGGACCCAAAATGTCGATGTTTTGTTCCCCGGGCCACTTAGTTATCACTTTGCCCTATGGCATGATGCCCCATCATACTGGAAAAGGCATTGTTCATCACCAAACTGTTCTTGGATGGTTCAGATAAGTTGCTCTTGGTGGATATTTTGGTAACATTCTTTATTCATAGCTGTGTTCTTAGGTAAAATTGTGAGTGAGCCCACTCCCTTGGCTGAGAAGCAACCCCATGCATGAATGGTCTCAGGATGCTTTACTGTTGGCATGACACAGGACTGATGGTAGCGCTCACCTTTTCCTCCCTGGACAATCTTTTTTTCTGGATGCCCCAAACAACCAGAAAGGGGATTCATCAAAGAAAATGACTTTACCCCAGTCTTCAGCAGTCCAATCTCTGTATCTTTTGCAGAATATCAGTCTGTCCTTGATGTTTTTCTTGAAGAGAAGTGGCTTCTTTGTTGCCTTTCTTGACACCAGGCCATCCTCCAAAAGCCATCGCCTCACTATGCGTGTAGATGCACTCACACAAACATGCTTGCTGCCGTTCCTGAGGAATCTCTGCACTGGTGGTGCCCACACCTCAATCAACTTTAGGAGACGGTCCTGGCGCTTGCTGGATTTTCTTGGGTGTGATGAAGCCTTCTTCACCTCTCTTCTTGAAGTTCTTGATGATCCGATAAATGGTTGATTTAGATGCAATCTTACTAGCAGCAATATCCTTCCCTGTGAAGCAATAATGACTGCACGTGTTTCCTTGCAGGTAACCATGGTTAACAGAGGAAGAACAACGATTTCAAGCACCACCCTCCTTTTAAAGCATCCAGTCTGCTATTCTAACTCAATCAGCATGACAGTGTGATCTCCAGCCTTGTCCTCATCAATGCTCTCACCTGTGTTTGAGTTGTGCCCCCGCTTTGTGTATCTCATGCCATTTCCATGGCGCGTGGATTTCCTCCACAGTAGAAAAATATCCGGACTTCACTGTAGTGGATAAACAGTTAGAAGACGGCTTGATGGGAATACAACTAGTATATATATTTTCGTCACTAACTTTATTGCCCTCTGGTGGCCATTTACCAAAAATGTTTTTCCACACTTACAAAATACCGTAGATGAAAACACAAGGTCATATATTAGAATTTACTTTAATTTGTTGATTGTTAATGAAAAATCTCTATATTACTTTTTAACATTTTATCCATATTATTCAGCAAATGTATCTCACATGTAAATAATTCCATGGTTTGCATAAGCAGTACCTGTGCCTTATTTGGCTTCATATCAACATGCAACCTAGATTTACGGTAATTATACAGGTAAAGTATAACGGTAAACTATATTCATAGTATCAAAATGTACTCAGTGTTGTCTCATCACATTAGACATATCACATATAAATGCGTAAACAGCTACAGTGCAAATCAGATAAAAACGTACGTTAGTGTCAGGCAATGTGATTGGGAAGGAAGAGGATATTTAATTTGTTAGTTTTTTTTTCTTTGATTGGTTTGTGTTTTATTTATATTTTTTATTGTGCTGTGTTTTGGGTTATTTTGTGTCATTTTTGAAATTGGTGATTAATTACACATGTGATTAATTAATTGATGTATTGGTTAAAGTATATTGGGAGGCGTGTGAGATACGACAAGAGAGACGTATACAGAGTGATCGAGATCCAGGGGCCGGTTTCACAAAGCAAGATTTCTTGCTTAGCTGGATAACTTGTTGGATTTAAGGTAGTCTGAGCTAGATGCACTTTCTCTTTGTACAGTTACATTTAGCCCTGACTACTTTAAATCCAACAAGTTTCCCGACTAAGCAAGAAACCCTACTTTGTGAAACAGGCCCCAGGAAAGATGATTGGTAGTGGGACCCGATGTGGTTTAATTGCACGGTGACGCTTTGCTTTAAAGGAATGTTTATATTCTCTGTTGTGTGTTGTTGGGTATAAGTGACGACCGGTCTGGCTATTTATTTCCTTGTTCTATTCTCCTCAATGGTTTTTATTTTTTATTCAAGCGCCTGACGAGCGGCCCCCGTCCGATTCTTCCGCCTTGAAGAAGATCGGAGGCATCGAAGTGGCAATCGGCAAACTGTGGACTTGTACCCCAAGGTTTAATTGGTACAACTTTTGTTTTTATCATGGGGCCGATGTAATGTTTTCCTTTCTTTTTATTTGGTGTGTGTGTAAATTTTGTGTGTTTACAGGCAGCAGTGTGGTTGGATTGGATTAATTTGCCTGCTCGTTCCGTTGCTGTGGGTTTGCGAGATTTCGAATATATCTCCTAGTTTTTAATTCCTTTTGGATTCAATAAATTTAGTTGCAATTTAATGTTCTCTGGTTTGGGATCTTCGTACCTGCCTATAGTAAGGGATATTTAGCTAGTCTCCTGACATTAGCATTAAGGAAAATGTTATTCAAACCCCTGCTGTTAGGCCTCGAATTTCAGCTTAATTGTACCTTGTCACATTCTCGGATCATCACCTCGCCCAGTCTGGGATTTGCTCCTGTGCTGTATCTGCAGTCCGTGGGTGATCACTTAAGCCGTCCAAAAGGGGTCTCCCTAGAGCCGCATTCAATTCCAGCCAAAACGTGCCGCATTTCCACTTGCAGCAAGACAGTGACCACAGCCAGTAGTGTGACATACAGCGTGACCCAAAGGGCTAATCCCAGGATCGCTACGGGCCGCTCTGCCCACAGAGCTCCCAGCAGGTACCTAGGTATGAGTACAGTAACATCTGCCATTGACAAAGGAGAGTAATGGTAGTGATAGAAATATTAGCAAATTTTGGACGGGAGTCCATCTGGCATTTGACTGGGCTGCTGCTGTTTGCAAATAGCCTGCCTCAAAAACCATCTGTATTGTCCCTGCAGTTATGTAGTAAAGCCCCCCCAACCATGGAACCTTGCTGATGGGTCATTCCACAGAAGTTTGATAGAGATTTGAGAACAGCATTATCTCGTATGGAAGAGAATTTGCTCATAAAGCACCACAGTTATGGAATAAACTTCCTATTG